TCGCTGGCCTCCGTATAGTGTTTCCTCATTTTTCGCACTCTGCTGTCAACTTGGATGACTGTATGACTGTTGAACTTTTCTTGACTTTTGTCTCATTCCTTTAGTAAAATGGAAAATTGCCACCACATACTACATCTGCCATGTTGCTACTGTCACGTGACCTACCAGCGTCAGGTGTGTTGCTTCACTGCCATTCATAAATCCTCTCCTGTGGCCTCATGGGAGAGTAAAATGTCAATCGAATGCACACTTCAGAATCCAGGTGAAAGAATAGGTCATCCGGGTACTTTTCGCCTACTGTTTTTTGAATACTATGAATTCAGACATACTACTCACCTCACATACTGTTTTTCACCTACTATATAGTAGTGATGCAAAGTCCGATTCATTTCCACGAACCGGTTCTTTTCGGACAGATCGGCTCATTGAACATGTGTCATGCTCTCATTGGTTATTGTCTAGTCATGTGATTCCCTTGTCTGTGTTATGTTCTCATTGGTTGCTTTAGTCATGTGCCTTGTTCCCCATTGGTTTGTCTTTGTCATGTGACCCTCATTGCTTGATATAAATAGCCCTAATGTTGCCTTTGTTCTTGGTCTAGCTTTGATGTTGTAACCTGCTGTCGGTGAGTCTGTTTGTGCCAAGTCAAGTCTGTATGATTCAAGTCTGATCATGCCTAGTCAAGTCTGTTCCAGTCAAGTCTTTTGGATTATGTTTTGTCTTTGTGAAAATAAACTGCACTTGGGTTCTCACTTCAACTCGCCTTCAGTGGACTGATTGTTACTAGTGATGCAAAGTCCGATTCATTTCCGTGAACCGGTTCTTTTCGGACAGATCGGCTCATTGAACCGGTTCAAAAAGCCGATTCATCGGTTTCTGACGCCATCAAGCAATAACGTATCTACGCATTTATTTTCTAACAACTCAGTACCATGTTGTATCAATGAAAATTTCAAATAAGTCATTTGTGTCAACACATATTGAAACATTCAAAAATAAAGTTATTTGTGTGAAAGCATATTGCTGATTATTGCCATATAATTCACTTTGTTAATGGTACATGTTTGTGGTCACAGTTTCATTCGCGGATCCTTTATGTCAGATACGACTGACTGACCAATATTGACTAGCCTACAACTTATAAGATTATTAATAAGATTCCTAAAAGTTTCACACATTACAGACATTGACGCACAAACGCGTATATGTTCTACATGTGTACAGTATAAAGAATGAATAAACCAGTCTTATAAACTCCTCCATTTTGCTTAAGCAACTTTAAATATAATATGCATGCACAATAAACTACTGTAAAATTTATTTACATCACTCGACAGAAAGGTTTTTGCAGTTTTTTTTTCAAATGTAAATTAATAACAGTCATAATAAACAAGCATATTTCCAGTACGCGCCTCAGGCTTGCACAGTATCGTCAACTCATCAGAATCTTCGGTAATCCTCGGCAAACTTCGCCACGGCTCATTCGGTTCTTGTTGAGTCCTTGAATCCTCGGCAAACTTCGTTCTTTTTGTAGTTGGACATGCTACTTCGGCTGTGTGTCCTGCATCATCAACCCGGAACTAAAGTTCGATTCGGTTCGATTTGTGAACCGGTTCGATCGGTTACTTCCTGAGAACCGGCTCAAAAGAACGATTCGTTCAAGAACCGAACATCACTACTATATAGTAGGGATTTATGCGATTTTGGACACAGCACGATACTCGACTCTACATAATACAATGAGCTTTTAATACAGTAATACAATAAGCTTTCAATGAAGCAACTCAGCGTTTTCGAAAAAGTAACAGAGGCTTGAGCTCAGCTGTTAAACCAAAGCCACTAGAAGACAAGCCTGCAACCTTTAGCCAAAAAAGCATAACGGCTAATGCTAACGCTTTCGCTTTGGCAGTAAGCAGGGAAGGAGACCAGAGGCCATTTTGTTTGAATGGATGTCAGTGGAGGAGAGGCTTCACTGCACTTTTTAGAGGAAACAACTTATCATTTAATGAATCGACAGCCTATCGGCAAATCTCCAACATGTTTTACACTAGCCACTCAGGTGCTGCATAATATCATTGCGCCTGCTGCACCCATGGTACGGCAGCAAGGTTCCTTGATTATTACACCGGAATGAGAGTATAGTTTCTAGCCATATCGGGCTAGAAAATCGCAACTTTTCATTTTCCGTCGGTCTTAGTACACGATGTAACTACAGAAGAGTCAAGTTTTAAATAGGAAAAATATCAAAACTCTTTGGTCATTTTTGAGCGAGATGCTAACGGTCTAATCAGATTCAATGATCTATGCTAAGCTACAGCTAAAAGTGCTACCGCCAGACCCGGAGATCGGCTGAATGGATTTGAAAACGGTAAAACTCAACTGTTTAACTCTAGGGGAGTTGGAAAATGAGCCTATTTTCAAAAATAGTGGAGTGTTCCTTTAAGAAGATTTAACTCCCTGTAACTTCTCCAGCCAGAGGGTGCTGTTTACACTAGACGTGTTAATCCCTTGAAATTCAACTTTTACTCTTTACTCTCAGAGTCCTTAACAGCAGGATTTCAACACTGGAGGATTTGCTGTGTAGTCATGTCGCCGGAAATAGAGTAATCACTGTCCCAATGTGCAGTGAGCCAGGGTACTTACCGGATTTGTGCACACGATATACTGATTCAGGAGCTCAGGAGCTGATTGAGACGCACCCACAGAGTTTTTGCGACAGCTTACGGCACTTCTCATTCATTCCTATTGTATCCGTAAACAGCGATTGTGTGTCACGCAACTCTGACTGAAATTCAGTGACGTCAAGGCTGTACTGTGATTGGTTATTAAGGCACACATGATCCAAGTTGACCGTTACGCTTTCTCCAGTAGTAAGTAATACAGACCCTCGTATCTCCCAATAAGACAATCTCTGATTAAACTGTCACCTTGAGATTTGAGTTCATGGTGGAAGGAAGTAGTTCTGCACAAATGAGGGTTTTAAAGACACTCCGTTGTTGCCTATTTTTTTTTTATTTACACACTTGGGCCATCCAACTGTTGTATAAACACAAAATCACACTCGTAGCCATGCGATATGGCTGTATATCAGCACACTGTGATTACCAACAGCCGAATCACTGCTACTCGTGTGATATTGCTCATATATACATACATTCAGGCATTTTAATGTGTGATTTAAGTGTCCAAATACCGGTGCCACCTTTGGTTACAATACAGTATGGTCCAATATGCATTATTTCTCCATTATGAATGATAATGTGGCACAATCACAGACCAGCAGCTTGAGAAAATCGGTCATGCTGAAAGCTGTAGGAGTAGAGCAGTAAACATCTAGAGACTCGTGTCATGACCTGAATGGCGGAAACTTCGAGGAAAACAGCAAAATCATATGAGACACACGTATAATGAGAAACAGAAAATGCTGAATCAAAGTAGTGCAAAGTTAGGCATGGATACAATAAAAAGACCTGTAATATGTTTAACATGCCATCAAGACACAAACTGCTCTCTGACGCAATGTGGGTTTATCAGCGGCGTGTGTGTGTGTGGCGACAAAATGTCCCCATGGGATAGTTTTTCCCCACTAGATTCATGTTTCACAGAGCAGTCTTGCCTGTTATTAATTGTGTTTGCTAAATCATGCATCACTACTATTGTTCAAAGGTTGGATAACGTTTTAAAGAAACCTCTAAGTGTTAACGTTCAGCACTGCTTGTGTTACTGTAGTGGTACCTGAATATTAGGTGAACTATTGCTGTAACCAAACATATGTTTTACACCATTTTAGGTGAATGCAGGAATCCCATAAGCTTACAGGAAAGACCAAAGTCATATAGAGACCAGCATATCTACTGCATGGCAACCATTCTATCATTTCCACAGCAACTTTTATGCACTAATTTCTTAAGAAAACATAAAAATCTAGTAAAACATGTTTTGGTTATTTATCATGGATTCTATATATTTACAATCAAACGCTCTCTCACACACTGGTGGTGTTTCCTCTTTTATCTAATAAGACTGTAATCTGCTCTCTTCAGACATGACCGCACACGTCTGTCACACTCCTGTCTGATGAAGCCAAATGTCTTCACTGGTTTATCAAAGTTAGTTTTCACGCTTTCGCTCTCACGTGGTTTCTTGCGTTCTTGTAGAGGGGAATATTTGTAACATTCGAATATGCAGATTTGTGTAGTGTTATCTTTCCCCTGCGGGATGCAATATGTTGCCACCTGTATAATCAACCAAAGCACGCATTTCTGTCTTTCTAGATCTACAAGTGACATTAACTTATTATAAATTCAGTTAGGTAACAACTTCTAGATCTCTGAGAGCTCGCTCTCTCACACCCTCCCTTTGGCTTTTTACGCAACTGTGCTCGAGGATCGACTCTCAGGAGTTCAGTAGTGAAGGTGTGGTACTTTATAAAGAGATAAAATGGTAACACGTTTTGACTGTTGCAACTCCTTGTAAACTAGTAATCATTGATTAGAGTACTAGTAGACGGTCTACTCTTTGATGCTCCTCAACACATTCTACTCACTATAAGTAACTTTGCAAGTACTTGTCATCTTATTCTGCTAATCATAGCAGTCTACTAATACTCTAATGAGAGTTAGTTGACATGGAGTTGCAAAGTTACTTTTCTCGAATGTCTAGAGTGGACTATCAGACATATTAGACATACATATTAGAATGATTTCTGATGATCATGTGACACTGAAGACTGGAATAATGATGCTGAAAATTCAGCTTTGATCACAGAAATAAATTACATTTTAACAGATATTCACTTAGAAAACAGTTATTTTAAATAATAATAATATTTCATAATTATACTGTTTTTACTGAATTTTTGATCAAATAAATGCAGCCTTGGTGAGCAGAAGAGACGTCATTAGAAACATTTTGACAAGTAATGTACACTAAAACTAATCCTTTTTAAGGTTACTTTTCATAAAGCAATGGTGCTAAAACATTTGGACACACTTTAGAAGTTTTTTATGATCATTTATTAAACAAAAATATCATCTCGCATGTTATTTAGAGAATAACCAGCGCAGATGGCAGCAGATTGATGTGGGCAGTCGTTAGCTAATCATGACAGATACAGAAATGTGCTCAATAACTGATCCATCTCCTCTCTAAATCCCACATGATGAAAAGATGGAGAATATCCACAGTTCCAATTACATACATGATTCTGCAGTTCACATCGTTTTAAAAATGCCAGTAGATTGAAAAATGATTTGATTTATGCGGGAGAGGAGCAGACATCCAGGAGGTGTGAGGATGTGAGGAGAGCCGTCACGGCTTACATTCATTTGGCCCCGTCTGCAGCCTTCTTCTCCTTCTCGATATCTGTGAAACCAGGAGGAGAGAGAGGTGTGAGAATGAGAATCCAAGAGAAACAGATGAACCTCTCGGGCTCCGTGACGCAGGGTTAAAAGCAATGCTATTCCCTTTCAACATTACATGAAGTGTAATTACACTTTATTACATGAGGTGCAAAACAATCAAAATATTGAGAAAATCACCTTTAAAGTTGTCCAAATGAAGTTCTTAGCGATGCATATTACTAATCAAAAATTACGTTTTGATATATTTACGGTAGGAAATTTACTAAATATCTTCATGGAACATGATCTTTACTTAATATCCTAATGATTTTTGGCATAAAAGAAAAATCTATAATTTTGACCCATACAATGTATTGTTGGCTATTGCTACAAATATACCCCAGCGACTTAAGACTGCTTTTGTGCTGCAGGATCACATATGTTTGCAAAATACCGGTTTTAAATATGAAGCAGCATAACGGATTATTTTTGTGCAGCTTAAATAACTGTTAGTGAATGTCACCAGAAGTTAGTTTTGAACAAACTCACAGGCTGATGAGCTGAATCTGGTGTTTTAATGAGTGAGACGTCTGGCACTGTTCTACAGCATTATAGAGTTATAATAGAGTGCATTACATTATCATTGCAGTGCCAGCGCATCCAGATCTGAAAGATCGTTTCCTGTTTATTTCTTTTTGTTTTTTATTTTCTTTGAGGAAACTGTGAATGCAAATGGAGATGTAAATACAGCCTACTGAATTACTTCCACTGAACGAGAAAAACAAACAACAAACACACAACTTTGTCAAACACACACACTCACACACACACACACACAC